CATATTTTTTGCAAATTTCGACTCATATTTTTTATTGCATTCGGTGTCGTGTATTTTACAAGTTCCGACTTACGTATTATGTTTTCAACATGTTTTTATCATCGGTATAATTTTGTCCGTAACGGAACGCCATACAGGCCTTAAACCCCTTGAGTTGTTAAAACTACGTAAAAGCTAATCGAAAAAGATGTGTTTTGACATGTCTTTTAAAAGTGAACAGTGACACAATATCACGAATATGCGGGGGACGGCTGTTCCACAAAGTAGGGGCGGCAACATACGCCCCTTAGGATGTTCTAAAAAAATTGAGTGATGCGATCTTTATAAATTTAAAGAACAGGTCCTAATGCTAACTAAGTCGCTGATGTAGCTAGGTGACATGCCATGAATGGCTTTAAAAGTAACAGTGAAAATTGTAAAATAGATACTATAAAACACTGTCAACCAATGAAGATTATAGAGAGCTGGCGAGATACGGTCGTACTTCCTAGTGTTCAAAATAAGTCTTGCCGCAGTGTTCTGTACACGCTATGGCTTACAAATCTGATATTTGGGCAGCCCATAAAGTAAACTGTTACAGTAATCTAGTCTTGAGGTCACAAAAGCATGAACTAATGTCTGAAGGCATTCCTTTGACAAAAATTTTGAAATTCGACGGATGTTATGAATATGATAGAAACAGGCTTTACATATTTGGTTAATACGATTGTTCATGCTTGGCCCCCAAGTTTCTAGCATTTAGCGAAGGATCAATATTATGATCACCAACTTGCAACTTGCTCAAGGGGCCAAGTTTATCGAGGTACTGTCTAGTCCCGATGACGAGAAATCATCAGTTTTATAGTGATTTAGTAGCAACCTTTCATCAATCAGCCATTTCCGTTAGTCACGAATACACTGCGTGTCGTCCACGAAACAGTGAACTTGCGGGAGCTCGAGGTGACACTCGATAACCTTAAACAGAATTTTTTGCTTTTGCTAAACACTTTATGTTCCTGGCGTACGGTCGGATTTTCACTAGCAGGCCTAGATCGCGCAAAATTCGGATTTTATATATTTTAAAGTTTTTTGTTTATTGTTGTCATAGTGATATCGATTTTACTAAAAACTACATTTTGACAAATGTCAATTCATAGTCAATCACTGGTGAAAAGTTTGTAGCGATCAGACAAGGAAAAAAATCACTTTTAAGACGATTGAAAAACATCGGTATGGTCTGCGAAAAACTGTATCGTATGGGAAAAATACTATAAAATCAATTCGACTCTTTTCTTCGGTATTCAATGGTGCTGATCGATCGTTATTCTCTCCTGACAGGAGAAGTTAGTTCTATAAGCCTTTTTCAAAAATACCATAATACTTTGTGTTGTCCGTCCAGAATTTTGCATAGGCACTTGTCTTTAATTTCCGGGGCGATTGTTAGTCCCCGTTATTTTCTCGCTAAGAGAAATGACTGTTTTTAAGAATTACGTTAGTCTTCTTTTTAGAATGCAGTGACATTTGTTAACTGTAATATTAGTTTAGTGATTTTAGTTAACTGATTTTAACCGGTAATCCTATAATTTTTCTATTGTTATGGTTTTGCGTGATCATTGCCACTTATGATCATTAGATACCTTTTCCTGATATGAATTCGGTGCGAGGCAGGTGTCCCATTTTGGTATGTTTTCACAGTGACACTTCTTATCAGACAAGTATGTTTAATTTACATTTCCTAAAAGGGACAAAGCCCTATTTATATTAAGAATGTTACACAATTTGACATTTTTGACCTCAACTTCACCTTTTATCAGTATTTTCCAGGAAAAGACTACCTTCCTTAATTTTGACCATTTTTAGAGTTATTTTTCTCGAACTCTCAACCGAATTCATATCAGCCAGTAGTTTCTATGTAAATTAAAATACAGTCGAACCTCCACGTGCGACCACCTCCCATAAGTGACCACCTTCCCAAAACACCAAAAATGTTCTCAGTCAAAGTCTTATACGTGTCATACGAGATGGGACAATTTGTGCTACAAATAGCACAATTGGCTATTTTGATGGAACCAACCCCATCACTAAAGAAGGTATCCAGTTACGGTCTCCTACCCCGATTATGGCTCCTGTTGATAACCATCAAATAGCCAAATAGTTCATTGAGTTGTATGATTTTATTTCAGCTTTTTATTTTTACTTGTTACTACGTAAAGTTATAACAACTGCTGAGGGCAGATCTGGGCAAATCTGGGTCGCACCCTTACAGAATGAACTGGCAGCAGCGGTACTCGAAGCGAACAGCGGAGTTGCCATGACTACCCTGCCTGGTGAGGTGAAATCTGGCCAAGAACTTTTCTTTTGCGCACTGTACGTATTGTCGGTCTAAAAACATGATGGGCGCATCGGACTTTTCGGCCCAAGGTGTGAGCAGGTCTTCACACTGTACGTGGGCGCCATTTAACCTGGAATTGATGGCCTGCAATTGTCAGAATAAAAAGAAAAGGTTTCATGGGCTTTGATTATCCAATGCTCGCAGAACATGCATGGGCAGCCAGTCGGGACGACGGTAGACTGCAAAACAGTCGGTTTTTTTGCTCAATTTTGGTTTCAAGTGTAGCTCAAGAGCCTCACACGCTCTCCCCAGTCTCGCTCTCCGTTTTATTGTTTATGAAAGGAAAAAGACATAAGGAGCCAAGTTCTTTGCAAATAAAAGTTCAGTTTTAGTCAAGTTTTCATTTTTTTGAAAAATTTTAGACTGATTTTTTTAGTCGCCCGTTCGACTCAAGACAGTTTTTATTGCTCTCATTCTAGCCTGGGACAAGGTTCTGCATTGACGGAAAAAGGAAAAAAATATCGGCGGGCGAAGCAAGGCGAGCGGTAGTCTAAAGAGGGTGGCGCTGCCCTTTTCTCCTCCCAGTCCACCGCTTCGCTCGCCGATTTTTTTTTGCTTCGGTGTTTCACCCCGTTTTTTGCCTTTTTCTCCCACCGTACAGCCTGGTCCCAGGTGATCACAGGTCTATCATCTAATGTTTGTGTGGCGGTGGACTCAGAGCGATTTAAAATGCATGACTGACCAGCTCGGTTCTGTAAAATTTTGCTGCTTCACTAATTTTTGCTCTCACCTTGATTTCTCGGTCCATTTCGAGGATTTTGGTCTCAATGTCAGCCTGAAAAACATCAAGAACATAATACCAGATTAGTAATTCAGGAGGTGACTTTCAACAGGCATCGCAGTGTTGCCTGTAACCCCAAAGAACAATGGCCTAATCTCATTTTGTAAGACGAAAACATAAACACAAACAGATTATCATCACACCATGCCAAAGTACTTTTGAAAGCGTTTTTTTTTTTGAATGATTACAGTAAAGGATTCCGTTCTGACTAACCCAAATTTGCGTGCCTTATGGTTACTAGTTGAACGCGGACTTAATTTCAAAAAAATTCGACGGTTGAGGAAATAAAACAACTAAAGCGTATTACATTTCGCCGTTTCTCCTCATTTCCTGATCTCCTCGTTATTTGTTTAATCATGTCGTAAAACCTCGCCTGATTCTCAGACGTCCGAGGTCGTTGGTGTCCCCTTCGAGAGAAGCGAAGGGGCCGCGAACTAGTTTTTACCATTCATGTAGTCACAAGGTCTTCTTAAGATCAAGAAGAAATGTTTTTCACGATCCACAGGTTGAAGCCGCAATTGAAACTAAACGCGTATTAAATTGCCTGGTTGTTTGGCTAGCAACACTGCATTTTGCTATTTGCCGAGGAATCAACAGTTCCGCTCTTGTTACAGCCTTATAAAACGAAGACATTAACTTTATCATCTAAAAATTATTGTTAGCAAGTCTGTTATTTACGGAACCTCAAAAATTTGTGTTGACTTATACTAATATAAAATATAGTACTTATTTTGGGCGCTATGTCAGTTTTAGCGCGCAAGTAGTAATTTTTTGCGATTTTTTGATATCGAAGAAAAGCGTCCGTTTACACAGGCGATTTGTTGCGCAAATATTGCTACGATTTTTGATGCAAATAAGGTGCGATTTGCAAATTTCGCTTGCTGTACTATCCCAGAGGAAAACGAGAGATCACTCGTAGGCTAAGCGAACATTAACCTTAAGGTAGATTTCCACTGTCGCGTAATAGTCCAGTTTCGAGTTCACTATGACCGCTGAATAAAAGAAGTGAAGACGCATTTTTTACAGGGTTAGCCTCCATCTGAAGTAAATATATTCACAAATTCCAACGAGAAAAAGACCTGTTTATTACTCTGTCTATTTTGTCTATTCAAATTTCAAACACTTACTTACCGGAATTTCTGAATATTTTACTTCCGAGGCTAACCCTGTATAAATGTGTCGTTAATGTTTGTATGCAGCCGCGGTAACTTTTAATTCGAAACTGGACTATTCTTACGTAGGGAGCTAAGCAACGATGATGGCGACGGCAACGAGAACGGTAAAAACGCAAGAGGTTTAGATTGGCAAAAAAACAATTTTGCTCGCACACCACGCCTTTTTGAGCATTTCTTTGCCGTCACTGCACGACTACAACGTGGAACGTCCTGAGGTTCACGTTTTTTGAAGGACGTGGACACAAGACAACGACTGTTGGAGCAGCGCAAATTCAATTTTTAAATGACTCTTTCGTAGCCTCCGTCGTCGTTCTTGCTTAAGCTCCCCAATGAGAAAAATCTTAATGACAGCTCCTTTTCAATAGCAGTAACTCTAACCGCGTTACCAACCTGTGATGGCCCGAAAGTACTGGTCAAGAAAACCAACAACGCTATCGCAGACAAGCGAAACATCATTATCATCCAGGTTATGTTTGTTCAAAGGTTGAAAATATACTGCAAAAACGAAAATAATTTAAAAGCAGTTTAGTAAAAACTGGATGTAAAATTGTCAGAAATGATAAAGAAATTTTACTTCTTTTGTTAAGTCCAAACAAGTGGAGATCAGGAGTTAAATAAGTTTGACTGTTTGAGACATCTATTTCAGTCTCAGCTTGAAATGCGTTTTCATCCTTTGTGTCTGTATGTACACTGCAATTTTCTCAAATTTTAATTTGTCTGGTTGAAACAAGAACTGGAGGATAGTAAATGAAGAAAGGCAAATTGTGTACTGCTTTTGTACTGAAAACTTTATAGTCAATGAAACGCAATTTATATCCAAGTATGAAAGTCAAAAGCGAGAACAATTTGGAAAACCTTACCTCAAAGAGAGGTACTCAAGGCCAAGTCTTCTGCTGTCGTGTTGCTGTATAGCACTGATACAGTGTGCGATATCTCCACTTATGAATGTGTTTTATTCAGTATGATGGACGTGGTTAAAAGTTCTAATCGTTGATTGGCTGGTTGGAAACTACGGCACGCGATTGGTTTCCCGATCAACTGTAGGACTGCATTTTCCCCAACGAGAGGCAGGATAACACTGTTACAAATTCAAATCGTCCCCAAATTTCAAATCTTTTGTCAGACAAATTAAGAATCATGCTGTCTTTACCGACAAAGAAACGAAAGCTTACGTGCTGACAAAATATTCTGTGTAAATAATAATAGTTAAAGGAGGAGTCGTCATGTCTGGTGCAGGAAATAAAAACGTTCCGTGCAAAACGTTTTGTTATCACGGCGATACAGAATAACAGAAAGCACGAAAGATTTGGCCATTGCCTTATTATCTACTGAGTACTAAAAATCAGCATTATCATCCGAGATGTATTCAATAAACCTATAATAGCTAATTTTTATTACAAAGCACATAAGTTGTAATTATAATATATAATACATGGGCACGAGGAGATATGAAATTCACTATCTTGAAAAAAAGTTAATATCAAAAAAGTAAATCATAAAATGAATTATTTAAACTATTTTCTGAGATATTTTGTAGCTTTGGATGATAGATGTCAAAGCGGCGATGCAAAAACTACGTTTGGCGGGAAAATTGCAAATGACATAACAACCGTTGATTGGCTGAATGTAGTTATCAGAACACATGTGCCCTGGTCCGACATTTCTCAGTGGCCAAAATCCCTATAAAACACTGCATGTAAGTTTATATAATAACAGCATTTGCTGTGTGTTTCTTTTCACTTAACACGAAAACTGTTTTTCTTTTTTTTTTCTAAGATTTCATTCAGCTCAGTTCAAGTTATTTTTTAATTCATTGCCCTTGGAGGAGAAATAAAGTTTCTTTAATTATGCTATCATATGTTATTTCCATTTCCAATTACGGTGTTGGGGCACTAAACTCTTAACAAACACAGTTGGTCTATCCGTTCATTCTAATATTATTTTATTGTAAACTCTCTGGGCAAACTTTCTATTTTAATTACTCACTTCAAGGTCTTCAAGGTTATGTTATTTTCACACACCTAAAAACAAACCAACACATTTTCAGGATTTATATGTCAGCAAATAACTGATAAAAAGTTTATAAATCTCTGTCGACATTCTCCACTCAATATTCCTGTATGAATGTGGGACGGTTTAGATGAGTATTAGTTCTTAATAATTTTTGTTTACTGAACGAAATGAATTTTTTTTCTAATCAAAAATAAGTGTTTTTTTTTTGTTTAAACGAAAGGAATTGTAAATAGTGTTTTGACGAAATAGTTTTTTTAAGTGAATTAATCGTAAATAGGATTTTAATAGTTAGCATTGTAATCAATAAAATATGTTCGGAAAAAAAACTACTACTACTACTACTACTACTACTACATTTCCAATTACCGTGTTGGCACACTAGACTCTTAACAAACACAGTTGATCTATCCGTTCATTCTAATATTATTTTATTGTAAACGCTTTGGGCAAACTTTCCATTTTAATTACTCACTTCAAGGTCTTCAAGGTTATGTTATTTTCACACACCTAAAAAGAAACCAACACATTTTCAGTCTTTTTATGTCAGCAAATAACTGATAAAAAGTTTATAATCTCCGTCGACATTCTCGATTCAATGTTCCTGTCAGTGAATGTGCAAGGGACGGCTTAGATGAGTATTCCATCTTTGAGAAGAATATGCAGTTTAACTGATTTTCCTGTCAATGGTGCAGCAGTCATTTTCTTACTTAATTACACACAATTTAAACGTTTTCATTTATAATGATTTCCATCAATTTCTCTTTTACAATTGAAATCTTTCAGATCCATTCGGGGCTAATATAAATTGTTAAGAGTTAAGAATATCCACGGCCCGACCAGACGAAAATTTGTGCGAGGCAACATAAAAAACACATCGTTTAAATAGTTTTTTAGAAAGGCACCAAATTTTTACCAAGAAACGACCTCGGCTGCCTTTTTGATGGTTATTGGCCTATTTAATGTAGCAGTAGGTCAAATACAGTGCGCTTCTTGAGATGTTTTTAGCAGTTTTACGCCATTAAATCTCGTGGTGATTTCGGCGTTCCTAATTAATTTAACTTTAAATAGATTTAAAATAATTATCATCACTTGGGGCACATGGTACAAACGTATTTTTTTTGCTTCATTTGAACGAGCGAAGCAGTTAAGTTGTATCAGAAACCTATCAGTTCCTGAAGTTATTCTTTAGTCTTTGTATCGATAAAACATGTGTCAGCGACTTTCCACGGTATATATGTCCCTCACGAACAATTTTCCGCATTCATTCCCTTCAAGTCCTTACAGTGACCAACATCAATTTTCTTCTAACGATATCCATACATTGTCAAGAGATTAGGTTATGAGAATTAATAAAATGATCATCTAAGAGAAAATGCTTTGATCTTTCATCAGATTCTCTCAACTCATTCTGTAAGGAAATGTATAGAGATCAGTTTGGAGAATTTGTATGCGGATACTGGGGCTGGGGCTTAAAGGGTTAATTAAATCGCTAGTTCAGATACACGTTCCCTGTAGACCATGACACGACTAAACTCATCAATAAAATAAATGAAATACGTCAGTTAAAGAAGATTTATTTTGACGAGAGAAAAAATATTCAAATAATAATAACAATAATAATAATAATAATCAATCATAACTATAACAAAATTCTAAAAAAATTGGAATTTCTTCTGTTTTGATTTTAAAAAAGGGCCTTATATATCACAAATTTTGTTAAAGTTATGATTAATTGGTAACAGAACTTCGTGTCGAGTTCAGTCTGTAATCATACTCGTG